GTGGCCACGCCCCTTCTCAATCCAGGGTTCCCGCATTCACAGTTACAGGTGGCCCTGGGAGCAACACCTGGCACCCAAACAGATCACCAGAGTCCACCACGTGAGTCCACCTGCCCTCCTGCATGAGATCAGAAGCTCTTCCTCCTCCCGATGATAGATCAGGGGTCAATGATCCCTGCCAAGATGGCCACTGCTCCAGCCTGCTGCTCCAACCTGTCCAGCCACAGCTGTAGCCTGAAGGCTTGAAGTTCAATGGGACCCTCTCCCGCTTTCTACAAACTGCTTCCTTTATTTTTATGTTTATTGATTTGGGATGGGGTCTATGCTTCCTTTATTTTTATGTTTATTGATTTGGGATGGGGTCTGGCTCTGTCACCCAGGCTGGAGTGCAGCGGTGCAATCACTGCTCAGGGCAGCATCCACCTCCCAGCCTCCATCCATCCTCCTGCCTCAGCCTCCGGAATAGCTGGGGTGCAGATACGCCCCAGCCCGAACAGGGTTTCACTAGGTTGCCTGGGCTCGCTCTTTTTGCTTGCTTGAACCCGGGAGGCGGAGGCCACTGCACGCAGCCACTTCGGATGATCTTAAATGCACAGTCTCAGGTCAGGCATGGTGGCTCACAGCTGTAATCCCAGCACTTTGGGAGGCCGAGTGGGGCGGATCACCTGAGGTCGGGAGTTTGAGATCAGCCTGACTAACATGGAGAAACCCCATCCCTACTAAAAATACAAAAATTATCTGGGTGTGGTGGTATATGCCTATAATCCTAGCTACTTGGGAGGCTGAGGCAGGAGAATCTCTTGAACCTGGGAGGCACAGGTTGCAGTGAGTCGAAATTGCGCCATTGCACTCCAGTCTGAGCAACAAGAGTGAAACTCCATCTCAAAAAATAAAAAATAAAAAAAATGAAAATAAAATTAAGAGGTAGACGCTAGGCTTGAGTTCAGCATTAGAAATCTCCAGAGCTAGGGTGTCTTCTAAGAAGCCCCTTTGCGTTCTGGGGTCTCAGACCTCAGTGAGGCTTAGTAGGATTTTGTATTTTCTTTCATTCTGACTCAGCACAGACATTTATGGGGGAGATGGGGAGAGGAGAGATTAAGGAGAAAAAGGTAATTCCGGAGACCTAAGTGGGGAGGGATGAGCAGAGGGAGAGTCAGATGATGCTGGAAGCCTCTGAGGAAAAGTCGGGGAAAGAAACCAGAGAGAAAAGACTTTACTGCTGAATTTTCCATGGGGCCCACTGAGACTCAAAGCTAAGGTGGGAAGGTCTTCCATCTGCTCAGCACCCAGGCGAGAAAGGTACTTTGCAGATGTTCCCTGGGAGCCTTGGGAAAAACGCCTCCCTTCCTCAACAAAGCAGGTGGGGCCTGCCCAGTTGCCCTGGCAGTAACCACATTATGAGGTGGTTCCAGTTACAGGCAGAGGGGTCTGAGTGGGAAGAGACAGAGGTGGTAGGAGCAGTGGGCTCTGCTTGTCCCCACCCCCACCTGGGGCCTCACACCATCCCACTATCATGGGTAGTGCCTACCACTGGGAGGCCCGGCGCCGGCAGATGGCTTTGGACCGAAGGAGGTGGCTAATGGCCCAGCAGCAGCAGGAGCTGCAGCAGAAAGAACAGGTGCATGGGATAGGCTGGGTTCTTTAGGGTCCTTTCTGGAGTAGGAAGGCAATGGAGAATGGAGACAGAACCCTAGGAAGCTGCCTACTATTTGGTGAATGTTGTTTGCTGGGGGTAGGAGGAAAGCAAGGTCATTTGGCGTTCTCTCAGATAGACTGTGTCTGTGTTGGGGGGAACACTACAAGCTAACTCAATTTCCCTGTTGTAATAGACTGGGGGAGGGCAAGTGTACTAGGCCTGGGAGGTTTAAAGATGTTCTGCCCAATAGGGTAACCCCCAGCCTGTGTGCTATATTGAGCTTTGGAGTGTGACTGAGAAACTAATTTTTTTTTTTTTTTTTTTGAGATGGAGTTTTGCTCTTGTTGCCCAGGCTTGAGTGCGATGGTGCGATCTCGGCTCACCGCAACCTCCACCTCCCAGGTTCAAGTGATTTTCCTGCCTCAGCCTCCCAAGTAGCTGGTATTACAGGCATGCACCACTACGACTGGATAATTTTGTATTTTTAGTAGAGATGGGGTTTCTCCATGTTGGTCAGGCTAGTCTCGAACTCCCGACCTCAGGTGATCTGCCTGCCTCAGCCTCCCAAAGTGCTGGGATTGCAGGCATGAGCCACCATGCCCGGTCAGTTTTATATAAATTTAATTTAGTTTTTAAAAATGTTATTTTGGCTGGGTGTGGTGGCTCACACCTGTAATCCAGCACTTTGGGAGGCTGAGGCCGGTGGATCACTTGAGGTCAGGAGTTCAAGACCAGCCTGGCCAACATGACGAAACCCGGTCTCTACTAAAAGTACAAACAGTAGCTACGTATGGTGGCGCATGCCTGTAATTCCAGCTACTTGTGGAGGCTGAGGCAGGAGAATCACTTGAACCAGTGAGGTGGAGGTTGCAGTGAGCCAAGATGGTACCACTGCACTCTGACCTGGGTGAAAGAATGAGACCCTGTCTCAAAAAAAAAAAAAAAAATTAAAAATTTTATTTTATTATTGTAATAGAGACAGGGTTTCACTTTGTTGCCCAGGCTGGTCTGGAACTCCTGGACTCAAGCAATCCTCCTACCTCAGCCTCCCAAACTGTTGACAGGTGTGAACCACCATGGCTGGCCTTGAATTAATTAATTCACTTATTTATTTATTTATTTTTTTGAGATGGAGTCTTGCTTCAGTCTTGCTCCCAGCCGGGTACGGTGGCTCACACCTGTAATCCCAGCACTTTGGGAGGCTGAGGCAGGTGGATCACCTGTGGTCAAGAGTTGGAGACCAGCCTGACCAACATGGTGAAACTCCATCCCTACTAAAAATACAAAAATTAGCTGGGCGTGGTGGCACGCACCTGTAATCCCAGCTACTCGGGAGGCTGAGGCAGGGGAATTGCCTGAACCTGGGAGGCGGAGGTTTCAGTGAGCCAAGATCACGCCATTGTACTCCAGCCTGGGCAACAAGAGCAAAACTCCATCTTAAAAAACAACAATGGCCGGGCGTGGTGGCTCACGCCTGTAATCCCAACACTTTGGGACTTTTGAAGACTTAGTATGAAAACAAAGAATATAAAATACTTCATTGATATGTTCATATTGATGTTTTGGATGCATGGGGTTAAGTAAAATACATTATTAGGTCGGGCGCAGTGGCTCATGCCTGTAATCCCAGTACTTTGGGAGGCCAAGGCGGGCTGATCGTTTGAGCCCAGGAGTTTCAGACCAGCCTGGTATTATGGTGAAATCCATCTCTAAAACAAATACAAAAATTAGCCGGGCATGGTGGTGTGCACCCCTAGTCCCAGCTACTGGGGAGGCTGTGGTGGGAGAATCACTTGAGCCCGGGAGGTCGGGCTGCAGTAAGCCTTGTGACAACGCCACTATATTCCAGCCTGCGTGACAAAGTGAGACCCTGTCGCACACAATAAATAAATAAATACAAGTGATTAAAATTAGTTTCACTTGTTTTTTCTTCTTCTTCTTTTTTTGAGACAAGGTCTTCCTCTGTCACCAAACCTGGAGTGCGATGGCCCATTCATAGCTCACTGCAGCGTGATCTCCTGGGCTCAAGCCATCCTCCAGCCTCAGCCTCCAGAGTAGCTGGGACTACAGGCATGCACCACCATGCCTAGCTAATTTTTTGTAAAGACCAGGTCTCACTGTGTTGCCCAGGCTGGCCTCAAACTCCTAGCCTGAAATAATCCTCCCATCTCAGTGCCACAAAGTGTGAATTACAGACATGTGCCAGTGCACCTGGCCCTATTTCTTCTACTATGTGGCTATTAGAAAATTTAGTGGCTAGGTGCGGTGGCTCATGCCTGTAATCCTAGCACTTTGGGAGACCAAGGCAGGCAGATCACAAGGTCAGGAGTTCAAGACCATTCTGGCCAACATGGTAAAACCCTGCCTGTACTAAAAATACAAAAATTAGCTGGGTGTGGTGGCACATGCCTGTAATCCCAGCTACTCGGGAGGCTGAGGCAGGACAATCACTTGAACTCGGGAGGCAGAGGTTGCAATGAGCCAGATCAGGCCATTGCACTCCAGCCTGGGGGACAGAGCAAGACTCTGTCTCAAAAAAAAAAAAAAGAAAATTTAAAATTACACGTGGCATGCTATATATATTATATATATATATTATATAAGCATATTATCTATTATATATAAGCATATTTTATATATATATATATATATATATATATTTTTTTTTTTTTTTTTGAGACAGAGTCTTGCTCTATCACCCAGGCTGGAATGCAGTGGCATGAACCCAGCTCATTGCCACCTCCGCCTCCCGGGTTCAAGCAGTTCTCCTGCCTCAGCCTCCTGAGTAGCTAGGATTACAGGCGCCTGCCACCACGCCCAGCTAATTTTTGTATTTTTAGTAGAGACGGGGTTTCATCATGTTGGTCAGGCTGGTCTCGAACTCCTGACCTTGTGATCCACCTGCCTCGGCCTCCCAAAGTGCTGGGAAGACAGGCGTAAGCCACGGTGCCCAGCCTGGCATGCATTATATTTTTATTTGACACTGCTATTTCAAAGCACTTGTAAGGTTTAGAAGCACCCTTGGGCTATTAGAAAAATTACTCTGGGAGGCTGAGGTAGGAGGATCACTTGAGGCTAGAAGTTCCAAACCAACCTAGGCAACATAGGAGGACCCTGTCTCTACAGAAAATTTAAAAATTAGCAAGGCATGGTGGTGCATGCATTTGGTCTAAGCTATTCAGGAGGCTGAGGTGGAAGGATTGCTTGAGCCTGGGAGGTTGAGACAGCAGTGAGCCAAGATTGACCCACTTACTGCACTCCAGCCTGGGCAACATAATGAGACCTTGACTCTATTTAAAAAAAAAAATTAACTGGGCATGGTGGTGTGCACCTGTAGTTCTAGCTACTTGCAAAGTTGAGGCAGGAGAATCACTTGAGCCCAGTAGTTCCAGATTACAGTGAGTCATAATCATGCCACTGCACTCCAGCCTGGATGACAGAGTGGGAACCTGTCTCTAAAAAACAAAACACAACACAGGACATTTGCAGGGAATTATTCTTTATCCTCCAGCACTAAAAACTGCTTTCCGGGCTGAGCTCTCAAGTAAGGAAGCAGATGCTCGAAGACAGTGCTATTTCCTGGGCTGGGATTGTGCTACGGGTGCTGTCACCCAGAAATCATTCTTGGGTGTTACAGTGGGTGAGGGAGACAGCGTAGGCCCAATTTCAGCCTGCAGCTCTAGGGAACAGAGACCACTGCCACCTATACTTCTCTACTCACTTGCCTTGTTCCCTGAAGTTTCTCTGGCAGATGGGTGATTGGGTGGGGAGAGGAGGATGCCACTTGCCCGGGGGCTTCTTGCCAGGAACTGAAGAAACACCAGGAGGAAGAACAACAATCGGAGAAAAAGCTCCAGCCACCTAAGAAGTCAAATGTGCCGCAACAACCAGTGGCGAAATTGTGGACATCACGGGAGCAACGACGGCCATCACAGCAGCAGCCATCGGTGCAGCCAACATCGCAGCCACCACCACAGCCATCACCACAGCCATCACCATTGCCACAGGCACAGGCGCAGGCACAGGTGTGGCCAGGGCCACAGCCACCACAACCACAGCCACCACCTCAGCCAACACAACCAAGTGCTCAAGCCTGTTGTACTCAGCACGCCTCCAAATGCAATCTCCAAGATTCCCAAAGGCCAGGTCACCAGCCTACTTCAGTGGGAATCTATTAAGCTGGAGGGCAATCTCTGTATGAACAACAGATTCTAGGGTGGGCAGAAAATCCTTACAGACTCTGGACTGGAGCCTGGGAGTGGGAGGTGGTGAGGAGAGGAGCCCTTTGCTTCCATCCCAGCCCTGTAGTGCAGAATCCGTATCCACTACCCTACCCTGACTCTCCCAAGTACCGTCGGCCTTTAATGCCTTGCTAGTCAACTCCCTCTGGGTGGGTTTATGCCAACCTACGGCTGCAAAGGAGCCTTCCAACTTCTGCAGAGAGTGGCTGAGAAAGTTGTTGGCCCCTCTTCCAGAGTGAGTGTAACAGAGCAGGTGGCGGTGATCAGAGGGTGGGACAGGAGTTGTAGGCTTATTAACAGATATATTGAGCCCCGTGAAGTCTGGAACAGGGAACCACAGCACCGCTTCCTAGTTGAGAATCTTCAGGAAGGGCTCAGTCTGTACCCTGTCCCAGGTAGGAGCCTGTCCTCACCGTACCCCCATCACCCCCTGGGTCACCAGACACAAGCAGTCCAGGCTTGTAGTGTTCCATCCTTGGAAAACTGCTGGATGAGTAACCTGTACTTTGTTTCATCATCAGGTCTCATGAACCCATGCCAATCTAGCCCCATCAAAAACACTGGGTATTCACAACTCAAGGTAAGATAGAGACACAGACCCTGAAAGACAGACTCTGGGTGACTGTGTGTGTGTGTGTGTGTGTGTGTGTGTGTGTGTGTGTGTGTATCTGTGTAGCCCAGAGAAACCTCCTTAGCAGGAGTAAGGGGAGGAAATTAGAATTATTTCACATTACTTCTGGACGGTCTATTCCTCTATTATTTGCCCCCATTAAAAATGTTTTGGTAGGAAGCTGGGTGCAATAGTCCTGGCTACTTGGGAAGCTGAGACAGTAGTACTGCTTGAGCCCAGGAGTTCAGGTTCAGACTGGGCAACATAGTGAGATCCCATCTCAAAAAAAAAAAATGAAAAAAATGAAAGAAAGCAAAGTGTGTGGTGGCTCATGCCTATAATCCCAGCACTTTGGGAGATCAAGGTGAGAGGATCGCTTGAGCCCAGGAGTTTGAGTCCAGCCTGGACAACAGAGTGAGACTCGGTCTCAATAACAACAAAAATTTTTAAAAACTAGCTGGGCAGCCGGGCACGGTGGCTCATGCCTGTAATCCCAGCACTTTAAGGCAGGCGGATCATGAGGTCAAGAGATCAAGACCATCCTGGCCAACATGGTGAAACCCCATTTCTACTAAAAATACAAAAATTAGCTGGGTGTGGTAGCACGTGCCTGTAGTCCCAGATACTCGGGAGGCTGAGGCTGGAGAATTGCTTGAACCCAGGAGGAGGAGGTTGCAGTGAGCTGAGATCGCGTCACTGCACTCCAACCTGGTGACAGAGTGAGACTTTGTTTTTTAAAAAAAAATAGCTGGGCATGGTGGCACACACCTGGAGCCCAAGCTACTTGGGAGGCTAAGGTGAAGATTGCTTGAGCCCCAGAGGTTGAGGCTGCCGTGAGTGGTGATCACACCACTGCACTCCAGCCTGTGCAACAGAGTGAGACCCTCCCTGAAAAAAAAAAAAAAGAAAAAAATGCCTGGGTATGGATGGCCTATTGCTCAGCACTATCCATAAAATGAGAATAATAGATGATACAACTTCCTCAACAGAGGGGGCATGTGGACTGAATATGGCAATTATTAGTAAAGGAAAGGGGCCAGGCGCAGGGGCTCATGCCTGAAATGTCAGCACTTTGGGAGGCCGAGGTGAGCAGATTGCCTGAGCTCAGGAATTTGAGACCAGCCTGGGCAATATGCTGAGATGCTATCTCTACTAAAAATACAAAAAAATTAGCTGGCTGTGGTAGGGCGCATCTGTAGTCCCAGCTATTCGGGAGACTGAGGCAGAAGAATCACTTGACCCCTGGAAGTGGAGGTTGCAGTGAGCCAGGATCACACCACTGCACTCCAGCCTGGGTAAAAGAGCGATATAAATAAATAGATAGATAGATAGATAGATAGATAGACAGACAGATAGATAGATAGATAAAGGAAAGAGCACTAAAAGCACTTAGCTTGGAGTCCAGCTCACTGTAGGCCATCAAACTCAGGATGACCACCTTTTTTTTTTTTTTTTTTTGAGACAGAGTCTGACTCTGTTACCCAGGCTGGATCTCAGCTGCACTCCACCTGCAACCTCCACCTCCCAGGTTCAAATGATACTCCTGCCTCAGCCTCCCGAGTAGCTAGGATTACAGGCATGTACCACCATGCCTGGCTAGTTTTTGTATTTTTTAGTAGAGATGGGGTTTCGCTAAGTTGGCCAGGCTGGTCTCAAGTGATCTACCCGTCTCGGCCTGCCAAAGTGCTGGGATTACAGGTGTGAGCCACCACGCCTGGCCTGGATGGCAACTCTTAACAAGAATATATAATTGTGCAAGGTGTTAGAAAGGTATCTCTGACAGAGGTGCAACAGATGAAAGAACCTGATGCTAGCACTTCTAGGATGAGGACTGGGCTGCTACATTTCACTTTGATTCCTCTGGCCTCACAGGATTTCACACAGTGTTCTGAAACCAGAAGCTGCTAACTTGTTTTGTTTCCCGTCTCTTCCTCTTCTCAGTCTACCAACTACATACAGCAGTGGTGACCCAGAGATTGAATCCGAGACCCCAGTGGCCATCCCCAAAATGCAGATGAGCAGCCACATCTTCTCAGCATCCAGCAACATCTCCACTTCAAAAGCCACCCACTCTAGAAGAGGTGGCTGCCAGGAATAAAACGTAATTCTTTTCCTGGGAGGAATCACAGCACTGGTCAGTTTTATGAGACAGGGATGAGAGGAAGCAGGCAGGAGGACTCACGAAGGGGATGGAGAGGGTGGAAAGAGAGTGGAAGACAAGTTTATGCTTCTCTAGGCAAAGCCAATGGGAGAACTGGGTCTTGGGTCCCCTGCAAGTATGCAACTCCTACTACTATCACTACCTGCCCTCATTCAGCAGTGATAAGTCTGTCAGGGGTTTCAGTTTGTGACTGTCACTGGAGCCACCACTCATTCCCCCAAGCCCATGCTTACTGAGCTACAGCCTGGGGAAGGAGGGGTCGCATCACATCAGAGCAGGCCTGCAGCAGCAGAAAGTGGTTGCAGGCAGTGATGCTCCCCACCTCCAAGCCCAGTGCAATGTCTGGCCTACAGTGGGCACTCAGCCGTCAAATGGACGATGGGGGCAGGGATGGAGAGAAAGAGCTTGGAGGAAAGCGGGGGCTATAGCCTCAGGAACATGACACTTGACCCTGGGAAGGGGAGGGAGGTTTGCCTCCTAAAACCCACAGCCCTCTTCCTTCCTGGCTCTCAGCCTCTCCATCTAGCGACAACCAAGAGATTCACCAGGTGAAGGAGTGGGTAGGGCTGGGAGACCCTCGGTGTTAGACTTCAGGAAGGTGCAAGCCCTGGGAAGGCCTTTCTTCCTCCATGCTGAGAAAGGCTGCCTCAGTCACCTCAATCACAAGCCCCATCCGAGGGATTAGCTGGGTATTTCACTGTAGCCTACATAGCATTGCCTTTGGTCTGAAGGGGCCATTTCAGTGCAACCCATGAAATTTCCTGATGAGAGCAGCTGGGGAAGATAACGGGATGGTGGGGAAGATAATAGCACAGAACAGGAATAGTAAAATTGGAAGAGACTTTAGAGATACACAATGGGAGCAAGAGGAAGAGAGTGAGATCCTGTGAGCAATCTCATGGAAAACAGAAGGGCAGGACATATCATCAGCGGCCCAGGGGCCCGGGGAAGAGACCTTGCTGTCCGTTAGAACATTACAGTTTCGGCCAGGTGCATGGCTCATGCCTGTAATCCCAGTACTCTGGGAGGCCGAGGCAGGTGGATCACTTGAGGCCAGGAGTTTCAGACCAGCTTGGCCAACATGATGAAACCCTGTCTCTACTAAAAATACAAAAATTAGCTGGGTGTGGTGGTGCATGTCTGTAACCAAAACTACTCAGGGAGTCGAGGCACGAGAATTGCTTGAACACAGGAGGCAGAGGTTGCACTGAACCAAGATCATGCCACTGCACTCCAGCCTGGGTAACAGAGTGAAACTGTCTCAAAAAAAAAAAAAAAAAAAGAAAAGTTTGTGAAATAAGGAGTATCCTAGGGAGTATTCACTAGTGCCCTTCCCACTCCCAGGAGACTTTTCTGAATATTCTTAAGTAGAGTTTATTGAATACAATATAAATACTCCACATTTGGCAGTCTATACACAGCAGCTCCAGCCTGGCTTCCCTGGACTTTTGCGCTCTTGCCAGCACCACCTTGACCTCAGCTTGGAGACAGCACAGTCTCCTTCCTTCCCCTTGTTCCCCTAGTTACCAAGTTCTGTCACCACTTCTCCCTCTTTCCATGCATCCTACTTCAAATTTAGCTTTCCCTGCTCATCTTTTTTTTTTTTTTTTTTTTTTTTTTTAAGAGAGTCTCTCTCTTGTTGCCCAGGCTAGAGTGCAGTGGTGCAATCTTGGCTCACTGCAACCTCCGCCTCCCGGGTTGAAGTGATTCTCTTGCCTCAGCCTCCTGAGTAGCCGGGATTACAGGTGCACGCCACTATGCCCGGCTTCTTTTTTTTTTTAAACAGGGTCTTGCTAATGTTGCTGCTCTTGTTAGACTTGAACTCCTGGGCTCCAGAGATCCTCCCACCTCAGCTTCCTGAGTAGCTGGGACTACAGGTGTATACCACTGCACCCAGCTGTAAGACCAAGCCACCTTTAATGAGCAAATATCCTTCCTGTTCTGCTAAAGTACAGAAACCTTTCTACTAGGAGCCAGTGGGAAACCAGGGGTTATCTGGGGCTTAGCCCTAGCTGAGTGACAGGAAAGGGAGGGTCTAGACCAGTCCCTGCCGATGTGCTGCTCCACATTGTCAAAGCCCAAGGAAGGATGAGGCTTCTGGGACCAGAGTGGGCCCTGGTGCTAAGGTGGTGGTGGAACAGAACCCAGCAGCCTCAGCCGGATACTGATAGCTTCATCTCCTGCAGGCTTTCAGATGAGAGCACCTGGGCCCACCGTTTGACCTGCCTGTGTCTACTCACATGGGCTCAGGATATGGACTTACAGGCTCTCCTTCAATAAATATCTTATACAATGATTCTGCCTTTGGCTCTGTTTTTCCTGTGCAGACCCACAGAGTGCCAGGTGCCTCCCTCCCCTCCTCTACTATTTTGGCTCCCGCTATGAAAAGAATAGTGAAACTGCTTTATAGAGAGGAGAAGCTTTAGCTGGAGAACAGCTCTCTTCCTAGGAACCAGGGACAGTCAATAACCAGAAAGGACAGAGGGCTAAAGGGCCTTGGCTCATCTCTCAGATGGATGGCAGACAAGTTACCAGAGAGAAGCAGACTATCACTTTTTCACATGGTCAAAGCAGATAGGCACAGGAAAGCATCTATGATCCCCAGAAAGTCCTTGGAGATGGCACTGGATGTCCCCAAATTTTCTTATCAGAGAGTAGAAAACTTGAGAAGGGTCTCTTTTTTTCTTTTTTTTTTTTGGAGACAGAGTTTTGCTCTTTTGCCCAGGCTGGAGTGCAGTGGCATGATCTTGGCTCACTGCAACTTCTGCCTTCCGGTTTCAAGTGATTCTCCTGCCTCAGCCTCCGGAGTAGCTGAGATTACAGGCGTGTGCCACCACGCCCGGCTAATTTTTGCATTTTCAGTAGAGACAAGGTTTCACCATGTTGGCCAGGCTGGTCATGAACTCCTGACCTCAAGTGATCCACCCGCTTCGGCCTCCCGAAGTGCTGGGATTACAGGAATAAGCCACTGCGCCCAGCCGGCAGGTCTATGTTTTAAAAGCCAGATAAAACTACAGCTCTCTCCCCATTCAGACAGGACGGCCAGCCCTGATGGAGCTGGGGTGAAATGTCCCCTTCAGACTCACCAGGTGCTCAGTACAGAAAGGCCAGGTGCCACTCCAGGGAATCTAAGGTGCCTCAAGAAGATGCCAGGTCAGATTTTCCTAAAGAAAGACCAGCCAGGCACAGTGGCTCACATCTGTAATCCAAGTGCTTTGGGAGGCCAAGAAGGGAGGATCGCTTGAGCCCAGGAGTTCAAGACCAACCTGGGCCAACAGTGAGACTCTGTCTCTACCGGAAAAAAAAAAAAAAAAAAAGACTAACCAAGGGCAGAATCTGATGGCAGCCCCTGAAAGAATCTGGGGGAAATTGGAGGATATGAGTGTGTGTGTATGAAGTTAACTTCAAAGCAAGCTTCCTGAGCAGGTGGGAGGTAAGCGTGTGATGAAGCAGGGCTTCTCCTTTGGCAAAGCCTCTGTAGTCCTTCCTTAGTCACCAGGGAGTTGTGGGAGATAAAGACCAGGGTTGCAGGTGCCTGGAGTACAGGGACAGCAGACAGGTCATGGTGGGTGAGGGGTCAGCTGGTGGGGCACCGATGCGTTTCCTCGGCAGTCCACATACTCATAGCTCTGGAAGACCAGCTGCTCTGAATGGCTCAGGTATGAGCAGGTCAGGGTGCCCCTGGAGAGGAAGCAGGCCTTGTTGCCGTGGCTGGAAGGAAAATGAAAGCTCCGGCCCCATTATATTGTCTGGGGGTGGGGAGTTGGGGGCTCCCTCATTTTCCCTTCCCTCTGGCTCCCCACTCTGCCAAGGTACCTGGGACAGCTGCCCCACCTGTTTTCCAGCAGCTTCCAGACAGCCCTATGCCTGTTGCCCCTAATAGTTTATAGGCAAGGTGAGACTTAGAAAAGGGGTTAGACTTGCTATTCCCAAGAGCCAACAAAGATTCATGGGGTCAGCTTGCATGACTCTGCCCAGAAGGTGGAGCTGAGTGAAACTGAAGTCAGAAGTGAGAGCAGGGACACTAGAGCTCCAAGCTCTACTTACTGGATGTGCAAAAGCACATGGTGGACTTTGATTTCCAGCCAGGTACAGATTTTGCTGAGAGAGAAGAAAAGACAACGTGGGACCACATGTCACATGGAGCAGCCTGTCAGCTCAGAAGATGCCTGCAGGTCCCAGTTTCCTTACCCCACACAACCCCTTCCTTCCATCAGGTGCCCCCAATATGCCACTTCCACCCTTTCCCACCCTTCAGGTCAGTGTGGCAGCGTGGCTGCACTATCACTCTGACCTCCACTCACTTGGCCCAGGCACATGCTGGACCCCCCCTCGGGAGAAAAACAAAACATTCAAGAGCCCAAGGTCACATATTGTAGAGATTAACCAAATTCCAGCCTGTTTTTCATTCTAATCAAGGTCCAAACAAGCAGAGGCTGGGGACCCTGAACCCTTGCTTATTACATTCTTGGCCATGGGAGGGCAGTCCAGATGCTGGCTGAAGAATCTGCTAAGCAATCAGGAAAGCTGGTGGGTATTAAGTGGGTTCCTAAGCCAGGCAAGCGGCTAGGGAAGAAGAGATCAAGGGGTACTCACTACGTGTTTTCATCCGGTATCTTGGTGGCTACTGCATAAAACATCTGTCAACCAAATGGGCAAAGGGTTAGCCCCGACTCTAGTTGCCCCTTCCCCACCACCACACATCCACACGCTGGTGGGCAGGGCTGGCCAGGGAGAGGGGAGTCACCTGTTTACTGGTCAAAGGGCCAATGTGTAGGAGAAGGTTGTTGGAAACCTGCCCCACCACGAGGGATAGGTGCAGAACCTCGAGGGTCAGCTGTGTCACCGTAATGGGGTAGTAGTTGCCATTGGAGATGTTTAAGACATTCTGGGGATGAAGACAAGGGAAAGGAGGACTGAAGATGGCCCATCCTTAGGAAAAGCCAAACAGTTGCCTGGCTGTCTGGCCTAAGCCCCATCTACCACGACAAGCTTCAGGTGCAGAGGACCAAAACCAGGAGCCCCTCGGAGGGGCATTGAATGGTGAGGGATCTTTACGAAGTTAAGCTGGCTCAGGATCCAGGCCCACCCTGTATGACTTCTTGCCATTCAGTCCTGTCCATCCAGAGAGGCTCAGGCACTGTCACCCTACTCCACCCCTATGATTTATCTATCTGGTCCAGATTCTGACCCCTTACTGTGTAGAGTCCCAACCTTTACGATCTGTCATGGAGCTCATGGTTGCTCCTACTTCTCTTCAGGCTCCCAACACCCTCTGGGTGCCATAAGATCCCTGGCTTCCCATGCCCAGGGTCACAACACTGGACAAAGGTTACAGTGAAGTATTGCTGGGAAGGGGGGGTTGGAGCCCAAGGGCTCCCACCCACCGTTATGTTGAGGTAGATATCAGCCTCATCAAAGGCCACCGTGGAGGAGTTGAGGCCTGCAGGCTGCACAACGACGGACCGGGGAAACAGGAAAAAGATGATGAAGGAGGAGGTCACCAGGCAGATGAGCACGGCCAGGAACACAAAGAGCTTCCTGTGTGAACGTAGGATCCAGGATGGAGGAATGGAAAAGTCTGAACACCAAAGAAACTCGGGGAGGAGGTTCAGACACTCCTCTCCATACACCAGGCTTTCCCCTGCACACTACCCCAACATCATTTAGCTCCCCAGATGTGGCCCGGAATGAGTAGGGGCACAGGATTGGCAGGCAGGCAGCCTGGTTTCCACTCCCAGCTCTCTGTTCCCATTGACCCAATAACATGGGGCAGCCCACTTAATCTCCTCAAGTCTCAGTTTCCTTGTTGGTAAAAGGCAGATAATTGTACTGACCTCATAGAATTTGTTATCGGCTAATATATGAAAAAATACTAATCACAGGTCCCTGCACATGGCAAAAGCATGATGAATGCTAGTTATTATCACTAGAAGAAATAAGTCCATATTTGGAAGTTCTGAATTTTAACATTCAGAACAGGACACTATCCATCCATCTAATTCAAAATTCAGATACGCATTAAAGAGATAAGTACTTTGTTAGTATCTTATGATGGGCACAGCTAATTTTTTTTTTTTTCTTTTTTTTTTTTTGAGATGGAGTCTTGCTCCGTCACCCAGGCTAGAGTGCAGTGGTGCAATCAACCTCCTGGGTTGAAGGGATTCTCCTGCCTCAGCCTCCCAAGTAGCTGGGATTACAGGCACCTGCCACTGTGCTCAGCTAATTTTTGTATTTTTTAGTAGAGATGGGGTTTTGCCATGTTGGTCAGGCTGGTCTCGAACTCCTAACCTCAGGTAATCCGCCTGTCTTGGCCTCCCCAAACTGCTGGAATTATAGGCATGAACCACCACACCCAGCCTGATTTTTTTTTTTTGAGACGGAGTCTTGTTCTGTCACCCAGGCTAGAGTGCAGTGGCGCGATCTCAGCTCACTGCAAGCTCTGCCTCCCGGATTCACACCATTCTCTTGCCTCAGCCTCCCGAGTAGCTGGGACTATAGTCGTCCGCCACCATGCCCAGTTAATTTTTTTGTATTTTTAGTAGAGACGGGGTTTCCCCATGTTGGCCAGGATGGTCTCGATCTCCTGACCTCGTGATCCGCCCACCTCGGCCTCCCAAAGTGCTGGAATTACAGGCGTGAGCCACTGTGCCCGGCCGTGCCCAGCCTGATTTCTAATTCTGGTATAGTGGGGTGGCGGAGAGGGTTCGGCTTGGTGGTACTCCCAGGTTGACACCAGGACCTTAGGAGGAGGTTGACGGAGTTCCATGTCAGATAGACTCAGATCACAAACACAGTAGGCCCCAGGGCTGCCTGAGGTTCTGAAGTATCCCAGAACAGCAGAAACCCATTAGCTTTTTCACCTCTACTGGGAGAAGAACAAGCAAGTCTGAACTGCCTCAGCAAGGGAGCTGCTTAAGAAAAATAATGTTTTCAAATCAATTGCAGCCAGGGCCACATGCTTGTTCCCTCCTTCCTGGGAGGACTTGTAGAGCTACCAGATCCTTCCTGTCTTGGAGAGGGTGCCATGCTTCCTGGAAGCAGTGATGCTTAAGGAAGGCCACCTGGTGTCCTCAAGTGACATCTGCTGCTGCTGCTGCTACTTTTTTCTTTTTTTTTTTTTGGTAGAGATGGGGTTTCACCATGTTGCCCAGGCTGGTCTTGAACTCCTGAGCTCAAGTGATCTGCCTGCCTTGGTCTCCCAAAGTGCTGGGATTACAGGTATGAGCCACCACACCCGGTCCAGGAGCTTCTAAATCAGGAAAAAATTCTTGGATGTAAGGAGGTGGTACCTCT